TTCCATCTCTTTGCTGTTGTGAACAATGCAGAAATAAACATAGGTGTGCATGTATCAGTTTTGGTGGAAGTTCTGCTTTCTTTAGGATATATTCCCAGTGGTGCAATTGCTAGGTCAAATGGTTATTCTATTTCCAACTTTTTAAGAACACGCTGTACTGCTTCCATAGTGGTTGCATCATTATACACTTCCATCAGCAGTGTAGAAGGGTTCTAGTTTCTCCACAACCTTGTCAGCATTTGTTTTTTGTTGCTCTGTTGAACTTTGCTATTGTTACTGGGGTGAGAAGAGATCTCATAGTTGTTTGTATTATTATTTCCATTCTGGTTGTCCTATTTCCTTTAATCTAGTTTCCCTGCTCTCTTACAGTCTAATATTTGTTTTAGTTTCCCTGCTCTCTTACAGTCTTATTTTTGTTTTAAGTTTAGTTTAGTTTAGTCTCATATAGGCTTTTGGGTGTGTTTTTGTTTTTGTTTTTTAATAGAACACAGATATACTAGGGAGTCTTCCAGTCTCAGCTAGTCCAGTTGGTCTGGTTTTCGTTTTGTTTATGTATCTGGGCAGTTGAGGTTCTGTTCTGCATTTTTCTCCCATCCTATTTTGGTCCTGATTAGAGTGGACAGTCATGGCAGCAGAGTGCCATAACATCCCAGACTCTTAGTTTCAGAGTGCAAATGTGACATCTTTCTTAGAAATACTTAATGATCCTAGGGAGCTCTGGTAGCTTAGTGGCAAGATGCTGCACTGCAATCCCAGAGGTACACGGTTCAAATCCACCAGATGCTCTGCTGGAGAAGGAGGGCAATCTCCTCCTGTACCAGTCAGATCTGATTTGATGGTACATGTAAAATAATACAATTTAAAAAAAAGGAAATACTTAATGATCCTGCCAGCATTTTTCTCTCTCTGACTCTTCCTCTTTGCCTTTTCTCCTCTCCAGAGTTTAGTTACCTGGGACAATGACAGACTCACCTGCATCCAGAAGGGAGAAAAGAAGAACAGAGGTTGGACCCATTGGCTCGAAGGGGATAAACTCCACCTGGTACTTTCCATGCTTTATTCTTATTATTTATGAGATGACACAGTATTAAAGAAAGCATTAAACCACAGCCAATAGTCCCCTTTGCATGTCACCGTTTTGGTCACTTACCAGAATGTGCAGCTGGCGTGTTCTTTGGAGGCAAGATTGACGAGGCTTCACCTTATATAATTTGAGTATGTTGCTAGGAGGTGCTATTCCTTGGAGAAGGACATGATGCTGGGAAGGGTGGAGGGTCGGCAAAGGAGAGGAAGACAATCAAGTGGTTGGCATGGTGACTGCTGCAACGGATCCTTGTTTGTCAGGAAGTGAGGTGCTGACGCAGGATAGAACAGTGTTCAGATCTGTTGTTCATAGAGTCGATATGAGTTGTATTTGACTCGACAGCACCTAACAACAAGAACAATAATCAGAATATTCTGTATCTTCATTGAACAAAACATTTCCCAGGTTTCAAAATGTTTTCTCTGTTGAATTCACCATGTAGTTATTATACACATGTAAATTGATTGCTGGCCAGCTGGAACTAACTCAAGCTGACCTCCATGGAGTTTCTTCCACCCCCACCCCTGTGGGGTTTCTGAGGCTGTAAATTGCACCAGAAGACGTTGCCCATCTTTCAGCTAAGGAGTCACTGGTGGATTTGAACTGCCAGAGAGGCATGGCCTTTGGGTTTGTAGCACAACTCTCTATAGACCACACCACCAATTGTTAGTTGCTATCAAGTCAGCTACAACACATAGAGACCCTATGAACAACAGATACAAACCATTCTCTATCTTGTGCCATGGATTTGACACAGTTACTACCACAATGGGCTTGACAGAGATCATGAGGACCTTACCAGAACACTCTATTAAATGTCTGTAATAGGATAGAAAACTGGTGGCATAATTTTCCATCAGGTTAATGAGTTGTCATTTTACTCCCTTAGTTTAATGACAGAATTTTATACAACCAATGACTTATTCATTGCAAATACCTCTTATAAGAAACATAAATGGCAATTATACCCATGAACTTCTTCTGATGGTATGTGCAGGAGTCTGATTGATTACATCTGTGGAAGGAATCATTGGAGAAGCTCAATGTCAAAACGAGGCCAGGTTATGACTATGGAACAGATCATCAACAACTCATATGCAAATTCAAACTGAAGCTAAAGAGGGCTCAGTCAAATCCAAAAGAACCAAAATTTGACTTTGAGTCTATGCCACCTGAGTTTAAACACCAGCTCCGGAACAGGTTCAAGGCCTTGAACACTAATGATCAAAGACTGGATGAGCTATGGAAGGATATCAATAATATCATCCATGAAGAATGCATAGAGTCATTACAGAGGAGGAAGAAAAGACTGAAATGGATGTTGGAAGAGACTCTGAATATTGCACTAGAATGCCAAGAAACCAAAGCAAAGGGAAGAAATCAGGAAGTCAAGGAGCTGAACAGAGGATTTCAAAGGGCAGCTCGGGAAGACAAAGCAAAGTACTTTAATGAAATGAGCTGGAGTCAGAAAACCAAAGTGATGATCTCACTTGACATTTATTAAGGTGAAGGAACTGTGGAATAAATTCAAGCCTTGAGTTGCAATACCTATAGATGCTATGGGCAGAATACTACATTAAAAGAAGACAAAAGGAGTATACAGAATCATTGTACAAGAAAGAATTGGCCGACACAGAAGAATTTCTTGAAACAGTATATGATCAGGAGGCAGTGGTGATGAAGGAGGAAGTCCAAGCTTCTCTGAAGGCACTGGCAGAAAATAAAGCCCTAGAAATTGATGATGCCAAATGACATATTTGGATGTGCTCACCAAATTATACCACGAAATCTGGAGGAGAGCTACCTGGCCAACTGACCAGAAGATATCTATATTCCCATTCCTAAACAAGGTGATCCAACAGTGTAAAAATTATTGAATATTATCACTAATATCACATTCAAGCAAAATCTTGCTGAAGATTATTAAAAAAATGTCTGGAATAGTACATTGACAGAGAACCACCAGAAGTACAGGCTGGGTTTAGAGGCTGTGGCACTAGAGATATCATAGCCAATGTCAGATGGATCTTGGCTGAAAGCAGAGTACCAGAGGAATGTGTATGTTTCATTGACTACACATAAAAATCATTTGGCCATGTGGATCACAACAAATTGTGGTTAACCTTGAGAAGAATGGGAATCCCAGAACACTTGATTGTGCTCGTGCAAAACCTGTTCTTGGACCAGGAAGCAGTTGTCAGATCAGAGCAAGGAAACACTGCATGGCTCAAAAACAGAAAAAGAGTGCACCAAGGATCTAGCCTGTCTCCATACCTCTTCAATCTGTATACAGAAAATATTACTGGACTTTACGAGGAGGAATGTAGCATCAGGATTAGAGGAAGACTCATTAGCAACCTCCGTTATGCCAATGACACATCCTTGCTTGCCGAAACTGAAGTGTTTGCTGCAGAGGCTCAAGATTCTTACCACTGGGTCAATTGACAGCACCATGATAGATGGAGAAGAAAGTGAGATTGTTAGCAATTTCAACTTACTCTGATCCACAATCAACATTTTTGCTACCAGCAGTCATGAAACCAAAAGGTTGGGGAAATCTGCTGTCAGAGACCTCTCCAAAGTGCTTTAGCGATGATGTCAGTACACCACAGTCATCGCAGTTACTTGCTATGCATCAAAGAGTTGTACAGTGACTAAGGATGACAGAAGTATTGATGCCTTCGAGCTGTGGTGCTGGAGAAGAGTCTTGAACATATCATGGACTGCCAAGAAAACAAACAAGTCTGTCTTGGAGAGGGTGAAACCAGGCTGCTTCTTGGAGGCAAGAATTTTGAAGCTTCACCTAACATACTTGGGGCACGTAGCCAGAAAGGACTAGTCCTTGGAAAAGGACACAATACTTGGAAGGGTGGGCAGATAGTGGAGGAAAGGAAGACCCTGGAGGAGATAGATTGACATAGTACCTGGGGTAATGGGAGTAGATGTGTTGGAGACAATGAGACTGGCTCAGGATAGGGCAGGGTTCAGAGCTGTTGTACATAGGGTTGCTAAGAGTTGCAGGTGACTTGAGGGCACATAACAACAACAACATTGTGTGAACTCCTATCCATACACAGAGCTTTTGGCAGTGACTTACTCCTTAGGACGAGTTCCTAGATAGTGTCACTGATGGCAGAGGTGTCATTGCCTCTTTCTACTTTGCTGCCCTCCTCACTTCCAGAAGATGTTCCTGTTTACCAGACCACCAGCACTACCCCAAGGTCCAAGTTACAATTCAATCTAATCAATAATTTTAAATTATAATTCAGAAGATAGAAAATTCCACCTCAGGGTTTAATCATGGCTTTTAACATGAGAATTCCTTCCTACCAAACATATTATAATAAAACCAGACCAGTTGCTGCCAAGTGGATTCTGACTCATGGCCAATTGTGTGGGCCAGGGAGAACTGGGCTGCCTGGGATTTTCAAGGGCTGATTCTTCCAGGGAGATCCAGGACTTTCCTTCCAAGACAACTCTGGGTGAACATGAACTCCACCCTTCCAGTAAGCAGCCAAGTACGTTAAACACTGGTACAGAATAGCTCACACCAATCAAGTAATTGTTTGTGCCCAATTCCATTGTAAAATCTTTTAAATGCATTATTTGCTTAGCCTGTATCAAAATCTTATGAAAGGGTAGTACTTGCTTGCAAATAGAAAAGGGAGATTTTTACAATTCTCCAAGGCTGAGACTGCAGTTTCAAACCCGACTCTGCGCTCTCAACTCCAGCTGCCTTTGTTCCTTACTCTACATAAGAGTGGGGAGTCCTAGTGGTCTAGGGGGTAGGGAGATGTGTTGCTAACTCAAAGGCAACCAGTTCTAATCCAATTGTTCCAGGAGAGAGGGATGGGCCATCTCCTCTTGTGCCATTCACATTCAGACTTGACAGGAATAACTTGAACATTTGTTGATACATGAGATTATGTAAGTTCCAGGAAAACAAAATTAGAACATGAGCTGTATATGGTAGTCTTCTACTGTAAAAGGATCTGAAGAGATTTCTGACCTGTAAACTTAAAGGAATATTGCCACTACAAAAATGCTCTATGAAACTACAAAGAAAATACAAATGTGTGAGGATTTTTGATGAAATATGAGGGTCCTCACACGGGTTTTCACATACACTTCAACAACTGTCTTCTTTTCCTCTAGGAAATGTTCTGTGAGGGCCAACTGTGCAAACAGACATTCCAGAGGGCCTGACTGGTACCCACCGGAGTCCACTTGAGGCTGCAGTTGAATGCTGGATTCTTATCCAGAATGAACGAAGCTTAATCTACCCTGGCTTGGTGATGGGACCTTGTGATCTAGGAGATTTAATGGAGCCAAAACCAGAAGTTCTTTGGATTGTCAAGAAATGGATCAGTTCCAATAAAACTGTCCAACTGACCCTGGTGTTTTCCTTTCTAGATTTCACATAGCCCAGTATCTAGCGTAGCAGCATAGAGCTCTGGGGGTGCGTCCCTAGAGAGTTCCCAAAGCCACACCTGTCTACAGGAGTGGAGAGAAGTACTGGGAGCCCTGAGAACACATCCTCTCATTGCCATCAAATTGACTGACCCATCAGGGTCTAGCCGTCCAGAGTGTACTGCACCACATCACCAGTGCTCTTTGTGAGAGGGCACAGGAGCGATGGGCCAGTAGTGGCGTTCAATGGGTCCAGGGCAGTGAGGTCACCTTTAACCTAAGACCTGAAGCACAGGGAGACATTGGCCAAGTGTTGGAGCAACTGGCAAGTCCTGCTAGTGAAGCACTAGCGGTGAGTTGGAGTGATGGACTAGAAAGGTCACGTTAGTGGACGCACAAGGGTTGGGAGAGGGAAAGACGACAGAGGAGACTGTGGTGAAGGACCCAGGATTCCAGAGGGTTGGTTGTACTGCCGAGTTAAAGCCAACTCATAGCTGACCCTCCAGTGGGTTTTCAGAGGCAGCAAATCACGTGAGAGAAGACTGCCCATCCTTCTCCCGCAGAGCAGCTGGTGGATTCACATCGTGTGCAAAGCAGCTTCTTACCATTAGACTACCAGAGCTGCCGGACTCCAGGTTAAAGAGTTAAAATTTTGTCCCCAAAGTATTAAGAAGATGGGGGTGGGTATTTCATAGGGAATCTACATCATGGCTAGATCTGCTAGGACAGAAGAGGGAAGGAAGGATCATAAGCTGGGAGGACAAGTTGAGAGGCAGCTTAGAAAGTTGTGGTAGAAACCTAAGTCTGAGAGGTTGGTCAGGAGCGCCCAGGGCCGAGGTCTCAAATAAGGGGGAAAACCCATGTGGCTACTTGGGACTGCATAGAAATGGTCCATTACGGAGGAAATTGACTCCTTGATCTGAGGTGGTAGACGAGCTGTAAGAATGATGGAAGTGAGGGGGCTTGGGAAGGGGCCCTGATTCTGGTTTGAGGATCTTCTTCTCTTTTGCCAACCTTTTTTTTGCCAACTCTTTTGCCTCCTTTCTAAGCATGATGTCACTTTCCAAGGCCTCTCCTTAGCAACATGTCTAAAAAATATGTGAGGTGAAGTTTTGCCATTTTGCCTCCAAGGAGCTCTCTGGCTGCTGTTTACCCAACACATACCTGTTTGTCCTTTTGACAATCCATACGATATTCAGTGCTCCAACACCACAACACAGAGGCATCAATTATTCTGTCATCCTTATTCATTATCCGGCTCTCAGATGCATAACAAATGACTGAAAAGACCATGATTTGAATCATGCACACCTTAGATCTCAAACTGCCATGATTTCCTCTCAGTGATTTGGAGAAGTTCCTGACTCCAGACTTTCCCAGAACAACATGTCTCCCGATCTCCTAACTGCTGGCACCATGTAAGCGATTCGGAGAGGTTCCTGACTACACATTTTTCTACTGCAATAAGTCTCCTGAGTGGCGAGCTCTGGTGGCCTAGTGGCAAGAAGGTGTACTGCAATCCCAGAGGTGCACGGTTCAAATCCACCAGATGCTCTGCTGGAGAAGGAGGAACAATCTCCTCCTGTACCCGTCAGATCTGATTTGACGGTACACGCACACAAAATAAAAAAAAAAAAAAAAAAAAAGTCTCCTGAGCTCCTGACTATGGATCCAAGTAAGATGAAGTTGTTAACAGTTTCATCCTTTTCTCCATTTGTCCGGTGGTGAGAAATTTTATTTCTTTAATGTTGAGATGCAATTCAAGGTTGTATTCTTTGATTTTTTTTTGCAGAAAGTGCTTCAAGTCATCCTCATTTTCAGCAAGCGAGGTTGTATATCTGCATAACATAGCTTATTGATGAGTCTTCCTCTAGCCCTGATGCCACATTCTTCTTCACAGAGTCTCAAATTACTTCTCAAGTAATTTTCTCAGCATACAGATCAAATATTTATGGAGAGTGGATACACCCCTGATGCACACCTTTCTTAATTTTAAGCCATATTATTGTTGAATACTGTCAAGTCAGAACCGACCCATTGCTGACCCTCCAGTGGTGTTTAAGAGACAATAAATTACTCAAGAGGAGTTTAAACCACGTAGATGATAGAAGAATCTATGCCTTTGAGTTGTGGTGCAGGAGAAGAATATTGAACATACCATGGACTGCCAAGAAAATAAGCAGGTCCGACTTGGAAAGGGTGAATCTAAGTTTTTTCTAGAGCTTAGGATTTTGAAGCTCTGTCTTACATACTTTAGGCACATGGCCAGGAGGGACCAGTCCTTGGAGAATTACATCGTGCTCATAAGGGTGGAGGGACAGCACAAGAGAGGAAGACCCTGGATGAGACGGATTGACATAGTAACTGGGGCGATGAGGTAAGGTGTGTTGGAGTCAGTGAGACTGTCTCAGGACAGGGCAGGCTTCAGAGCTGCTGTACGTAGGGTCACTATGAATCCTGGACGACTTGATGGCACATAACAACAACAGTGCTCCATACAGATTACAGTCTTGGAAACCCTAAGCAACAGTTTTCTATTCTGCCTGTGAGCTGGATCACTGTAAGCTGGAATTAGCCCAACAACAGTGGTTTTTTGTTTTCGTGAAAAGTCCCTGAGTGGTACAGTTAACACATTTGCCTCATAACCAAAAGGCTGAAAGTTTAAGGCCACATAGAGGAGCCGTGGAAGAAAGACCCATCAATCTGCTTCCTAAAAGTCAAGCCCGGGGGAGCTCTGGTGGCCTAGTGGCAAGGAGCTGCAACTACAATCCCAGAGGCGCACTGTTCGAATCCACCAGATGCTCTGCCGGGGAAGGAGGGACAATTTCCTCCTGTACCAGTCAGATCTGATTTGACGGTACACTCATACACACAAAAAAATAATAATAATAATTTAAAAAAAAGTCAAGCCCCTCTCATTCTACTTGGACACATAAGGGGTGCCCATCAGCTGGAGTTGACTCAATAACAACTGGGTTTTGGTGCCTGCCAAAGGTGGGCTGTGCAGGAGGCAGTTGAACAGACATGTCTAGGTTGTCATACACATCAGATATTGAAGCCATGGACATGAATGAAACTATTCAGAATATTTGGCTTGAAGTAAGAAAAGAGTGATCTGAGTGTTGGAGAAAGAAACAAAGATACAGTGAGAGAAGGAACTGTGTTCAAGGACGCGGGAAATCAGGATAAGTCAAGGCTTGAGGACTTTGGTCCCACCCTGAATGTATCGTCACTACCACGCCTGCTGCTTGTACAGACATGTGAAGGGTTATGGTGTGAATTAGAGAGAAGGAATGCCACTTGTCAGTTGGTCACACTGTGGCCACTTTGATGCTAAAACTATTTCAAATACCATCAGGGTCACCCAAAGTAGACAAAAGAGGCACCAAATTTGAAATACAAAGCCTACAGGTTAGGGCAGGCTGTTGGTGGGGGTCTTTTCCTTCAAACTTCCCCCATCAAATTGCACGACCCTATACCAGCAGCCAGGAAATTAAAAGACAAGTTGTGTGGCCTAGTGGCAAGGAGCTGCAACTACAATCCCAGAGGCGAACGGTTCGAATCCACCAGATGCTCTGCCAGGGAAGGAGGGACAATCTCCTCCTGTACCAGTCAGATCTGATTTGATGATACACGCACACAAAAATAATAAAATAAAATAAATTTTTTTTAAAAAAGGCATCAACTCTTAAAAAAAAAAAAGACAAATTTCATTGAGTATATAATGGACTGCTAGGAGAAAAAACACGTTCATTCTGGAGAGGGTGAAGCCAGGCTGCTCCTTGGAGACAAGGATTCTGAAGCTTTGTCAGACATACTTTGGACATGTTGCAAGGAGGGACCAGTCCTTGGAGAGGGATGTCAACTTGGGAGGGTGGAGGGACAGCACAGGAGAGGAAGACCCTCAATGAGATGGATTGATTCCGTGACTGGGGTAAGGGGGATAAGTGTATCAGAGACAATAAGGTTGGCACAGGATAGAGCAGGGTTTAGGGCTCTTGTACATAGGGTTGTTGTGAGTAGCAGGCAACTGGATGTCACATAACAACAACAATAACATGATTAACCACCCCCATCCTCATTACTCTGCTCCTCCCCACCCTCTTGGATCCTCATAAACGTTTTTTAGTAATGGTCTTATACAGTATTTGTCCTTATGGGACTGAGTTAGCTCATTTAGTATAATGCTCTCCAGTTCCTCCCAAGTTAGGTAATGATTTACAAAATCATTGCTCCTGTCTGTACTTAGTATTCCATCATGTGAATGTACCATAATTCCTCAATCCGTTCAATTGTGGTTGGACATTTAGGCTGCTTTCATGTTCTTGTGATGGTGAATAACGCTGCTACAAACTTTGGTGTACAAGTCTCGATTTGTGCCTCAGTTCTCATTTTCTCGGAGTGTATTCCAAACAGTGGTATAGCTGGGTCATATGGAATTTTTATGTTCAGCTTTTTTGAGGAAACACCAAACAGCCTTCCAGAGTGGTTGTACCACTTTACAATTTGGCAGGCCTCTTTTACGGAAGATCTTATAAAAGTGTGCTGCCTTGAAACATCACCTAAAAAAAGCGCCACTTAAGAGAAGTCTAGGGTGAAGAACGAGCTTTGTAGGTGAACAGGGCAAGAGGTGTGAGGCAAAGGGAGAAATTGCAATGGCCCTGCGGTGAGGGCACAGTTGTGCTGGGAGGGCAGCAGAAGGGCGAGTGAACAAGGTGGAGAGGACCAAGGGGGCAAGCCTGAACTTTAGTTTTATCTGTTAAGACCCCAAACTTTGTTACCCTTGGGAGTAGGAG